CACTCCCCCCTCATTCACAATGACATGATTTTTTGTTCTGATGATGCCTGATACCTAACCTTACATTCTTGTCTTGCACCTATTTCTTGAACTTTGGATGAGGGTTACATGTTCCATGAGGAGAAATCAAGGTTTTGGTAAGGCTCTCCACCTATGTTAAAAATGATCTAATAATTTATAAATTATCAAGGGTTCATGAGGGAGGGGGTGGGATGGGAGGAGAAAAATGAGGAGCTGATACCAAGGGCTCAAGTAGAAAGCAAATATTTTGCAAATGAGGGCAATGAATGTACAAATATGCTTGACACAATGGATGTATGTATGGATTGTGAAAACAGTTGTATGAACCCCCAATAAAATGATTAAAATAAACCTCAACACAATTGAGAAAGGAATATTAAATAAGTGTACGCTAACCACAATAAATAATAAATAAATAAATAAAATGTAATGATGATGTATTCATCCTCAATAATAAAGTGCCAATATCCACCTTGAAGTACCCCCCCAAAAAAAATCTTCAAATGATTCTGAATTATTCCTTCTCCATTTGAAAATTAGGGTTATACTATATCTCGGTAGCTTATCTAAAGGCAGTTACAATTGAGGAATGTGTCAAGGAAACCAATTAGGACAGTGATGTTCTTAGATCAATGGTTTTCAAATTTCAGAGTGCATGGAATAACCTAGACGTTTGCTTAAAAAAGAGAGTGCCCAGTCTTAGCTCAGTGAATGCAGCATGGGTAGTCTTGGAGGGGGTGCCTATGCATCTTCTTTTTTATCATTACCCCACCTCCCTCGATTGTCAGTCATTCTAAGGCAGGTGGTCTGTGAATACACTTACGGAGAGATAGCCTTCGGTATTGTTTCCCTAACGTGTTCCTATGTGACACGTTCCTCAGTCACAGAGGATTTGTTAAGTTCTGCTTCATGAAACAAGCTAAACAAGATGGAAGGCGATGAAACTACACACTAAACTGAAGACTTCTTAAAGAACAATGTATATTTTTACAAACTAACAGGAAAATAATCATCCTGCTAATTTAAGAACTATTGATTTTTTTAACTCAAAATATTGATCTTTTTACGCTGTGAAATTTGAAATGAAAGGAGTCCAATAAATGCACATCCACATTGTTTTCCAATTTCTAAAACAGTTTGGAGATAAATATGCATATTTTAAGCTTCTTATTTTGCACAATCACTACTACATTTTTTACTAGAATCATCATCATCAAGGAAAAACACAATAATGCAATTCAGTATATATTTTTTAAAGTGATCAATTAAAATTTGAATTAAAAAGTTAGCTCTTCGCTTTCTAGTCATCACCTTGGTAAATAAAAAGCAAAGGTAAAGTAAGCCAATCAATATTTATTAAATATTTATGATGCACTTGGAGCATGTCTCTGTATTTGAGAAGATCACGGTTCATTGTGAAAGACCATTAGCTGTACAGATATTTATGATGCTGTCCCATAGATGAAGAGGTGACCAGTGAACCAAGAACCACGTTAGCTTTGTTCCTCCTCTCTGGCACGCTATAGCAATTCAATATTTGCTGAATGAATAAATACATATAGGGTCAGGACTGTGAGAAGTCAGCAGAGACACTACAGAGGTGCTTGGATACCAGTGCCAACCTGAGTGTAATGTTCTTCTGAAACATAAGTGTGAGATGTTTTATCAGGGAATTTTAATTAAAGAGCAAATGTGAGCATTTCAAGACATTTTAATTATGAACCTACTTGATAGAGAGCAGCCACTTACCGAGATGAGTATAAGAAAGGGTATCATTGAGTATGAGAATTTTGTGGTCATGCAGGATTTTTATAATACTTCTGGTTTCTGTCTGCTGCAAGTCATAGCTTGTGGTTGTTATCACTATCTCTTCACCCTCCTTAGAAAAATTCAAGAACAGTTGTTTAAATGGGTATCTATCTCCCAGTTAAAAACAATTGCATAACTTTCTTCAATTTATATCTGAGCAGTCAGTTATGGTATTGACAAAAAGAATAAACTGTACTTTTAGGTCTCTAAAATGAAATGATTGATATTAATAATTAAACATTTTGAATTATAGTTACATTAAAAAATTTTAATTCTAGCATTTAAAATAATTATTGTAATTTATATATAAAGAACACATCAAAACAGATATATTCACATATGTATGAAAGATTTGTCAGGACACATTTTTAAAACTTTATAAAAATTGTCCCGTTTCCTTCACCTAATGAACTATCACTTGATATTTCTGGAAGGAAAGAAAAACAGAGATACGTTAAAGGCCAGGGCGAAGACCTAGGATCTAATCTTTGTAGATTAAGCTCCTTTCTGCCATCCATGTCTCGGTAAATGTCACCGTGAAAACGGGCTTTCTCTGGCCATCATATTAGTGTTATCTACCGCTCCCACCATGACAGCGCCCATCACACTGGCTGTTTGGTCTCTTTCATCGTACGCACAAACAGTCTGTGCAGACATATATTCATTTAGTCAGCCTCTCTGATCTGCAGGAGTCATTTAGAAAATATTAATTGGATAAGTGATAGGAATACTGGAATCCTTTAATTACCCTCCTAAAAATAATCATACTTGAGCTATCACAAATAAGTAAGAATGTATTCAAAATAGATTGCAATACAGTCCAATAAAGTCTCCTTTTTAACAATTTCCAACCAAATTAAGAGAGCAAACCCATACGTTTTAATGATTTGTTCAATTTAAGGCTTAGTTTTACGACTGGAAAACTCTCCAAAGAAACTGACTGTGGTCTGAGCAATTAGAAATTGAATTCGTCTGCTTCCTTGGTCCTTGAGTATTAAAGTGCATATTGGTAAAACATGTGGAATCCCAGACTTGCACATGTTTATGAGTGCAATATAGATGGAAATTGCCACTATTCATATTCTAAACAGGGACTATCACAAAGTAAAAACAGAGGTACCCAAGATTACAATAAAACATATTCTTATTTTTGTTTTGTAAGAATTTGCAATGAAAAAATTTCACCCTAAACTTCATAGTTGTCTTTCATGACTAGTATAAACATAATGAACTTCATATATGCTGACAGATATTGGAGACACAATTTTTTAAAAACCTGAAATCAGGGCAGTTGGTTGATAGTAACCTGATGGTAAAACACACATTTCTCAGTTGGGTGGTCCCTTGAGAAAAGAATTACCATCTTTTTAAGCAGACTGATTGCACATGTACTTTTGACCATACATCCTTTACCTGCCAATCCACACTCTCCAGCAGGGTCAGGACTCTGGAACCTGCCTCTGCAGTTTCTGAGAGTTTAGTTTTATATATTGAACGTGGGAATCCATGAAGATCCAGCTCACCAAATACCCCTGAAGAGAAAAACACACTTATTTATCCATCAAGCACTAAGGGGTTAGATCTGAGTATGAATCAGTTCGTTGATACATTTTAATTAGCAATTGAACATTTTGCAATGAATGCCATGAATTGGGGCTATCTGCCCAGGGACGGCATAAAGCCCGTTTCTAGGAATCTAGTCCACAGACGTCAAAGCCAGCGCCCGAGGACACACAAATGAGAATGTTTACCCCTGTTGTGTTCTGAAAGAGCAAAAACCAAAATAAATCCAAATGTCCATCAATGAGGAAATAATGGAATGAATTATAGCATAGTCATACAGTGGACGAGTATGTTATAAAATGAAGTTTTTTTCTATCCAATATTGATCTGAAAGATGAGAGAAGAATCATACTAATACATTTAGTTTGTCAATGATGTTCGAAACAACAATTGTGTCACAGCAATATGTATCATGAGTCTCAGCAGTAAGGAGTTGGAATTGTAATTGTGTATATTTTTTCCTGATACTACTCTGTATCATTTGAAATGTCTTTTGGTGAGGGAACACACATAAAAGCAAATATGTCTGTGTGTGTTTCCTCATTAACTGTGTCACAGTTTTAGATATGGCTCAGTGGAGCAAGTGCAGCCCGTTTATGTGTATATATCTTCTAAATAAAAACACAATAATATTAGTCAAAGGATAACTGATTGTGCAGTAACCAGATTGTCTACAAACTAAAAGTTCAGTAGTTTGAAGCCACCAGCTGGTCCTCAGGAAGAAGGGGTGGCAGGCAGGAAGAAGGGGTGGCAGGCGGGACCTATAGATGCACAGCCTTAGAAAAGGCTTCTGTCAGCGGTCCTTGTGGATCAGAATGGACAGCATTGCATTTAGTTTTAGTGTTCATACAAGCAGTTGCATAATAATTCAACTATTATTCAAATTTATGCACCAACCACAAAAGCTAGTGATGAAGAAGTTGAAGAATTCTACCAATGACTTCAGTTGGAAACTGGACAAACTTAGTCAAGTTACATTGTAATTTATTAGTGATTGGAATGTAAAAGTTGGAAACAGAGAGGAGGGAAGAGTGGTAGGAAAATATGGAGTTGGTGATATGAATGAAGCTGGAGATTGCATGATAGAATTTTGCAAGACCAATGACTTATTCATAGCAAGTACCTTTTTTCTGGACTTATCCAGGTGGAATACACAGAAACCAGCTTGACTACATCTGTGGGAAGAGATGATGGAGAAGCTCAATATCAGCAGCTAAAACCAGGTCGAAGCTGACTGTGGAACAGACCATAAGTCAGTTCAAGTTAAAGCTGAAGAAAATGAAAACAAGTCCATGATAGCCAAAATATGAACCTGAATTTCAAGAACATCTCAAGAACAGATTTGACACATTGAACACTAGTAACAGAAAGCCTGATAAACGGTGGAAGGACATCAAGGCCATCATTCATGAAGAGGGCAAAGGTCATCGTAAAGACAGGTAAGTAAGAAAAGATCAAAGTGGAGGTCAGAAGAGACTTTGAAACTTGCTCTTAATCGTCGAATAGCCAAAGCAAATACGAAAAGATGAAATCAAAGAACTGAATAGAAGCTTTCAAGAGGCAGCTAGAGAAGACAAAGGCAAATATTATAATGAAATGTGCAAAAACCTAGAGTTTGGAAACCAAAATGGAAGCACTCGGTCTATCTGAAACTGAAAGAACTCATGAAAAATTCAAGGCTTAAGTTGCAATATTAAAAGATTGTACGGGCAAAATATTGAATGATGCAGAAAGCATCAAAAGAAGATGGAAAGAATACAAAGAATCATTGTACCCAAAAGAACTGACCAACATCCCACCATTTAAGAGGCAGCATATGAGCAAGAACCAACGGTGCAGAAGGAAGAAGTTGAGGCTGCAGTGAATGTATTAATGAAAAACAAGGCTCCAGGAATTGTCAGAGTACCCATTGAAATATTTTAGGAAGCTGAAGGCACACTGAAAGCACTGACTCATTTAGGCCAGGAAATTTGGAAGACAGCGATTTGGCCAACTGACTGGAAGAGATCCCTATTTGTACCCATTCCAATGAAGCGTGACTCAACAGAATAATATCATTGATATTGCACACAAGTAACATATTGCTTAAGATTATCCAATGTACAAATTACAGCAGTACATTGACAGGAATCTGCAGAGCTTCAGGCCTGATTCAGGAGAATGTGGAACAAGGGACATCATTACGGATGTCAGATGGATCTTGACAGAAAGCAGAGAATACCAGAAAGTATTTACTTGAGTTTTATTGATGATACAAAGACCGTCGACTGTTGTAGACCATGATAATAAACAATGGATAACTTTGAGAAGAATGGGAATCCTAGAACACTTCCACTCATCCTGCCCCACCTTCTCCCTACCTCTTGATGTCGCTACTCCCAATTCTGTTCCTGAAGAGTTTATCTGACCTGGATTCTTTGTCTTGTGAGCTCTTACCTGTACACTTGTCCATGCTCCAGTCTAGCCAGAACTGAAAGGCAGAACTGGGGTCATGATAGTGGGGGTGAGGAAGCCTCAAAGAACCAGAGGAATATTGTGTTTCATTGGTGTTATACTGCACCCAGGTTTACTCATCCCTTCCCTATAACCCTTCTGTGAGGGGATATCCTATTGCCCAGAGATGGGTTTTGGGTCTCTGCTCCAACCCCCCTCATTCTCAACAGTATGTTTGGTTTTCTTTTCTGTTTGGGGTCTTGTGGTGCCCGTTACCTGATTCCATCAACATGATTGCACAGGCTGCTGTGCTTCTTCCATAAGGGCTTGTTGCTTCTCTGCTGTTTATTTAACTTCAACCTTTAAGACCCCAGATGCTGTATCTTTTGATAGCCGGAAACCATCAGCTTTCTTCACCACATTTACTTATATACCATTTTGTCTTCAGCAATCGTGTTGGGAGGGTGAGCATCACAGAATGGCGGGTTGTTAGAACAAAGTGTTCTTGCGTTGAGGGAGGGTTTCAGCAGAGGTTCAAAATCTGCCCACTTCCTCAATGTATTGCCAAATAAATATATGTACATATGCCAATACCTCTTTTTATGAATTAATATAGTCACATAAGGGTATGCCTATGTTTATACTTCTATCCATAGCTTTGTTTCCTAGAACTTTCCACTGTTTCCTTTTACCTTCCTCATGCCCTATCATCACGCCTGCCCATCTGCCTTTTACTAATTCTGCTCAACTAGATTGTTGTTGCTCCAACACCAAAGGGATCTCTATGTCCTCCTCGTCATTGCTTTTAATTCCCTAGTTGTTCCCTTGTCTATGGCATTGTTGGCCCTTTACTTTTCATAGATCTAGTAAGAAGAGTCATGACTATAGTGATGTAAAGGAGCCCTTAGGACCTAATGAGCTAGGCATTGGACTGCTAACTGCAAGGTCAGTCTTGGAACCCCAAAAGGGCAGTCTCACTCTGTCTTCAACAGTCATCATGAATCAGAATTGACTGTATGCCATTGAGTGAGTTGCAGCGATGTCATTGACAAATTCAAACTTAGGAACACTTGTGATTGGATAACTGATGATAACATCAACATACCCACATTATTATTTATGAATACTAAAAACAGAATCATAAGTAGAAACATTCTTTTTTTAGGGGAAAATCATTCAAATAGTAAAAATATTGTTACTTATACTGGGAAAAGATTATAGAAAAAATTAGAAAAACATAATCTATTAACAGAGAAATATGTTAATGGACTAGCTTTATAATGAATGTTTTGGTTTATGAGATACACCTCTATAATATTACTATCTAGTGTAATGTCACATGATTTACTTATTTAAAACTCGTGTTTTTCTTTAAGATTCCCTTAATGAAATTACTACCTGTTTAAGTTTCTGATACCATACCATCTTGAGCTGATAACCAGTACTTTACTTCTATAATTTAGATTCTCAAAATTGATACAACACTTTGGGAGAAGGGTGACACGTACCTAAGACCTTTGACCCTTGATTTGGTCCTTCTGGTAGAGGCCACTCTGGGGTCGAATGATCTCCTCTAAGGACAATCTGTAGCTCTCCTTTAAAAGGGTTATCTTCCCAGCCCCCAATCAGCCTGCCTCCCTGCAGGGACACAGAAAAGTGTTATTATGTAAAAATTGAGCGGGGGTGGGGGAGGAGAATTACCTTATAAAAGAGGAATTTCCTATAGCAAAACTGAGTGAATTTTGCTATGATATAGATATCACAGTGATATAACTTAACAAATTCATTTCGGGTGGTTACTGTTGTTGTTAGGATTAGGTTCTGATGCACCGTGACCCTATCCATACACAGCAGAATGAATCAAGGCCCTGTCCTGTGTCATACTGACAACCCTTCCTATGCCTGAGTCTATTGTTTCGGTCACTGTGTTATCTGTCTCCTAAGGGTCTTCCTCTTTTTCACTGTCCCTCCACTTCACCAAGCAGGATGACCTTCGCCAGGGACTGTTGACTAACGTTATGGGTCAGGAAATCTAAATGGCTTTTTTCCATGTCAACTGCAGTATCTACTCCGATCAGTGCTGCATCTAGAACTGAGACCTCATAAGATGGAAAGTAGTGTGGCTTACACAAGCCACTTTGCATTTTAACACACTACTTCCTACCTCAAAAAGCTCTTCACACTTGCATCTAAGCGACACCCTTTATGGTCCATCACTGGTACTAGCCATTATTTACATATTTGCTAATCTATGAAAAGGCACAACTTATAAGGCTTTACATATATCGTTTATCTTTTGCATTCAAACCAATGAATTGGTATTATTACTCTCAATTCATATATGAAAAAAACTGACGTTGAAAGAGGTCAAAGTGTACCGCGGGTTACCCATCTAATCATTGGTGACTTAAGATTTCAAAACCCATACATTCCAAGCCTAAATCAGTCTTGAAGATGTAAAGCCAGAATGCTCCTTTGAGAAAAGGATGGAGAGACGTCGTCTTGGGTACTTTGGACATGTTACCAGGAAAGACCAGTCCCTGGAGAAGAACACCATGCTTGGTCAAGGAGCAGGGCAGAGAAAAAGGGGAAGGCCTTTGACGAGATGGGATGACACAGTGGCTACCACACTGGGCTCAAATAGAAGGACAATTGTGAGGATGGTGCAGGGGTGGTTGCTATTTCATTCTGTTGTACACAGGGTTACTGTGGGGGAATCGACCCAATGACACCCAACAATAACAACAACATGTGTCTAACTGATGGACTATATGCTTTTAAAAGCATTAACGACCTCCTCTGGGCTTTATCATTATAACCAAAAAGAAACTACTAAATTCATTTAGTGGTGCTGTACTTAATAGACTTTATTATTTTTTTTTTAGGAGCCCTGGTCCCTCACAGGGCTGCTACCCACAAGGCTGCTCTGCAGGAGGAAGACCAGGCTTTCTACTCTGGTCGAGAGTGACCGTCTTAGAAAGCACAGGGCTAGTTCTACCCTGCAGGGTTGCTATGAGGCAGAATCAACTCGATGACTGTTAAGTTTGGTTTAGCAGGTTTTTGGTTAAGCTATCCTTTTTAATGAGCAAAAATAAGTGACTGACAGACCAATTAAATTGATTGAATGATCACATGTTGAAGACCATCTGAAGTTTATGAGCAAATGAGGTGAAAAATTGAAACATTAATTTGTCTGCTCCTACTTTTATAATTCCATCCATGTGATTCATTTAAAGCTTTGTTGTTATTCTTCCTTTAAGGCTTAAAATTCTTGATTTCTTTGAGCAAGGTGTTAGCTTAAGTTCAGCTAATCACAACACAAAGGATCCCTGGTGGTGTGGTGGGTTAGGTGTTGAGCGCCTAACTACAAGTTCAGCAGTTCAAACCCACCAGATACTCTGTGGAAGAGAGATGAGGCTTTCTACTCCCGTAAAGAGTTACAGTCTCAGAAACCCACAGGGCAGTTCTGCCCTGTCCTGTAGGGTCACTGTGAGTCAGCCTTGTCGCAGTGCAACTGAGTTTGGTTTTCTGGGGGCTTTAAGGAAAGTTAATGTACAATTTAATGGCGTGCATAAATTGAACTTAAATTTTTTAATGAGAGTTGTACATCATACCACTTAAATATACTTTATTGTTTGGTAAATTGCCTACATTTTGGGATTGAATCAATAAGGATATACAAGACGCTCACCCTCTCCCCCACTCTTACCTGCAGTGATATGTGGGTAGCATTTAAAACAATTTTTCTATAAGAAGACTCGGTAGTTCCCACATTATATTGATCTTCCAGTTCTAGAACCCCCAAAATAATGAGCCTTTCCATTGGGGGAATAGCTGTGTCTGCTACAATCCATGTTCCTATAAAACAATAATTTTATATAAGAAATTTAACATAATCCAGACACCATGTCAACAATCATTTCAATAAGCCTGGTTTTTGAAGTTTGTTACTCATCATACCACTCAATGACTGGTTCTGATGCTCTAAGATAGTCTACTGTTCTTTATTTTTATTTTTAAATCATTTTATTGGGGGCTCTTACAGCACTATCACAATCCATACATCCATCCATTGTGTCATGCACCTTTGTACATATGTTGCCATCATTATTTTCAAAACATTTTCTTTTTACTTGAGCCCTTGGTATCAGCTCAAATCCCCACCCCACCCCTTCTCCCTCATGCACCCTTAGTAATTTATAAATTATTATTTTTTTCATGTCTTTCACTGACCACTGTCTTCTTTCACCCACTTTTCTGCTGTCCGCCCCCCTGGGAGGGGTTATATGTCAGTTCCCCCTTTCTCCCTCCACCTTCACCTTCCCCTCCTGATATCGCTACTCTCATTATTGGTCCTGAGGGGCTTATCTGTTCTGGATTCTCTGTGTTGTGAGCTATTATCTGTGCCAGTGTACATGCTCTGGTCTAGCCAGATTTGTAAGGTAGAATTGGGATCATGACAGTGGGGGGGGAGGGAGGAAGCATTAAAGAACTAGAGGAAAGTTACATGTTTCGTCGGTGCTCTACTGTTCTTTATACTCAGGTTAAATCCACAAAACCCCAGAGGCTAGTTTTAGTACCAGCGATAAAATCATAGACCCCATCTCTTCAAGTTTCTCCATTCTCCCTGCTGTGCTGGATAAAGGCAGAAAGCCAA